TCTTGGTACATGTGTAGTAAGTGCCTTTATGTATAAGATTACCAGTAAAGAGCGTGTAGAACTAATATAATGAAAGTTTAAAGTTTTGAGTCATCATGGTCCTATTCACACACACACACAAGCAGGCGACAGGGCTCACGATATCCGGAAATATATAAAATATATAACGAAAAGAAATAGTTTCTTTTGTAAAATATGATAGTGTATTTATAGTAAAGCTACTAATGCTATATGACGTTGTCCCTAATTTTGAACTAATAACCAGAAGGTAGGGAGCCAGTCAGCAGTATGCTACTACCTACTATCCACATTAAAATATTGATTGCCACTCTTATAAAGCACCCACAGCTTAAATTGCAGCGAATATTATATGGTATCGCAAGAGCTCGAACTCGGTTCTCCAGCTTCGAAATCCAAGATCTACCACATGACCAACCTGTGTTTTGATCTGACAGAAAGGAAACTTTGTGTATTCTTGTGTTTTGGGAATTCAACTAAAATCTCTTTGGTCAGCTTTATAGAGTATTTAAAATGTATGCACTGCTCAAATTCGTAGATATGTTACATTCATTCTAGTACACATGGAAGCTATGCAGCTACTTATATAACGGCAAACCTAACGTCATTTTAGTGTATGCGTTTATGAACACATAAAACGGTTGACAGAACAGGCCCAAAGCTCAAACTTGTATAGAACAAATGTTCTCGTTTTTGTCTTTTGTACACAGGGCCATTAATGTCTCTTCATATAATGAAGATTTAATAATAGAATTAAAATATTTAAAATATGTAGCGACTGATAGAGAGTATCAGCCTAGTATCATAGGTGAGATGTACAAAAAATTACATATTTCTGGATGTACCAAATTGCAAGCAACCAAAGAGTGAAATAAGGAAGAATATGTTTTGAACAATACGGATTGTCAAATAATCATTACTGAAAATTAAAATTAATTACTATTATTAATGATGTGAAAGATAAAATTGAAGTAAGGTATAAATTTGGAATATACAAAAGTTCACGTCGTTGCGGTTATATTAGACAGACAAGTAGAGATTTGAAATTTAAAATTGAATATCGTAAAAGTGTTGTTGAGAAATAAAAAATAAGTCATTTGGCCTTGGCAGGACATGCGTCGAACTCTTCGCACGTCATTCACTGATTGGGACAATGTAAGAATACTTAAAAGAGTAAAGTTGAAAAATGAATTACGTATAGAAGAATCTTTAGAAATTGTAAGAAACGCAATTATTTTGAATATAGATCTTGGTCCTGGTGCCACAGAAAGATATTTTTGGTAATCAATTTTGTAAATGGCACCACTGTATTAGATGTAACTTGTACAAGTATGTTTACAAGGTATACAAGTGAATATGTTGTCTTCTTCGTCTCCGAAACATGCAGAGTTTTTACTTTTAACTTTATACAAATAAATCATTGTGCATGTCGAAACGTTGGTCTCGTCAGCTTATTTTATATCAGACGGTGTATACTGTTTAATGTTGCAAAACATTCTAGATGATATACTGCTTAACTTGATAGAGAATTATAGATGATATGTACTGCTTAATTTTATAAAACTTCAAGATGAAAGTCATTGAAAAGTTTGAGGAAAACGCGTTTCATCGTGTTTTTGAACTGAGTAAATTAGATTGATTAATCTTTTTTGACTGTATTATAACCATCTTCGGTTGGTTGTGAAACACAAGAATCTCAAAAACGTCCATATTGCAGTTAATGAAGTATTAATGCAAAGCAAAAACTAATTCTCAGCACAAGATAGAGCACGGAAGAACTGACAGACCCATAATATTTCCATTTATATTATGAAACAAGTAGTCGTTGAACATTAAGTGTATTTGAGTGAGACTTAGGACAGCAAGGGAATTAAGCTGCTAAAACTTAAATATTTCATATTGGATGCTTATTTTTGTTTATTATGGATTAATCTAGCTATTTTAAGCCGGTAATCATTATAGATTAGTCGATGCTTAAGTGTTATGTCGTAACTCAGTTTTATTAGATTACATTCACAATTTCAATGAGTTGTATGTTTTAAGTAGTGAATAAAACAAAAACCTTTTTTAAAATCGCAACCCTAAACGTTTTTCGATACTTCAGTTTTACTTATAGATTATCCGAGTTTAATGCTCAAAATTTAATTTAGTGAACTCTTATAAAAATACAGCATTAATCTTGAAAGCTTTTAACTCTATAATTTAGAGTTCAATCTCCGTAACGAATATAGCACAAATAGCCCAATGTGCAGCTTTGTGCTAAAACAAAATAATCAAATAAGAGTTAAAGAAATTCTACATTTAAAATCCAATGAAGAAAGATTTTTAAACTTCTGACATGAAGATCCATAAGTTACAACTGTTGACCAGAAGAAGGACAACAAGTTAACTCTTAGCTGAATAGCAGGATTAACTGTTATAATTATAACGCCCTAACCCAATAGCAGGATTATCTGTTATAATTATAACGCCCTAACCCAATAGCAGGATTAACTGGTAGAATTATAACGCCCTACAGGCGAAAGTACGGAGAGTGTTCTATGCCATATCGCGGCTGGAGCTTTGGATCTTCTGATCGCAAGCCACCGGCCGCAACCGGCCCACTTTAAAAAAAAAATCTATATCAGATGCAATACATTCTTAGAAGGACGGTTGTTTAACAACCTGGGTCCGTTAAAGAACTATTCATTCTGGTACGCGTGGAAGTTACGCAACTACTTATGTAATAACAAACATAACGTCATTTTAGTGTATGTGTTCATGAGCACATAAAATATTTGACAGAACACACTGAAAACTCAAACTTATATAAGCAGGCTCCTCGTACTTCAAACAGTCAAATTACCAGTGATGCAATTACTTCATCTGACTGAAGCTCTAACTATAGTTACACATGTACGCACACACACATACACATATACATATATTTAAGAAGTGAATATTGAAATGGAATGGAATTGGAGCTCGTACTTCCACCACACAGGTAAACAATTAACCTACTGATTTACCGGAGAGAGTGCCACCTATAAGGTTTTTTTTTGGTTTAACTATTGATTGTTTAACGAACTAGAAGACCTTTCTTTTAAATATCAAATGATCTTAAGTAAACAAAATCCCTGCCTGTTAAACAACAAATATATCTTGTTTGCTTGTTCCGCACAAAACTACACAAGAGCTCCTTGCGCTAGCCGCCCCTAATTTTTATCTGCTAGACGAGAGGGAAAGCAGCTAGTTACTATACCTACCGCCAACTTTTGGACTACTCTAATTAAAGAGTATGATCTGACATTCATTCATTTACTGTCTAAGTGTGGAACGCGATATGTCGACAACATAACACGAACTATGGGTCTTTGGATTCAGAGTCCGGCACACTAAGTACTAGGCCACGCGGGGCCTTTGAAATAAAGCTTTTACAACTAATCAAAAATTGGATATGTTAAGCAACAAGTATACTTCCGTTGAATAAACTCCATTTAATATACTTCTCTGGTATTGTTGGTTTCGCTTAGGGACTTCTCTTGACTTATGTATCTTTTATATTTTGCTGTTGAACTAGCATTTTTATCCACCAGTGTTTACTATGTAAACGGTGTTCAATTTGTATTATTGTATTACGTAATGACTTTAGAAGCTTGCTTATGATACAAGTACACTGTTCAGAAAACGTTCAGTAAACATGTTTTCTTTCTCATTTTAAGGTTGTAGTGTTTACCATGGAAATCAGATTTATACTACTTGAACTAGTTCTGATGAATTCCCTTCCCTTGCTCCGCTTGTTTTCCCGCTATGCCTGAACATTGTGTATCTCAGACAACAGTGGAGAGAAAATTATAAAACTGCATATTGCCTGCACCTGCTCTGTAGGCTAGTCAATGATCCTGACTCTTTGTATAAATTAGAATGACATAATTTTTCAAAATCAATTTCAAGATTGTTTGTCGCAAGGGAAGAGTATTTGTCTGGTGGTGCGCATGCTATTTTGTCCCACCTCTCTGGTACGCTTAATTTTGTAGGGAAACGGAAACAACGTAACAGTAAGTAACGTATCTAAGCGATAAAAGTATAAACATATGTTTTAGTATTCACTCGCTGACAAAGGTGACGAACAGCTGTAGAATAGGTATTCATAGAATGTGCAGTATCAGTGACGAGTTTGTTTGTTCGTTTTGAATTTCGCGCTAAGGTAAAGGAGGGCTATCTGTGCTAGCCGTCCCTAATTTAACAGTGAAAGCCTAGAGGGAAGGCAGCTAGACATCACCACCCACCGCCAACTCTTGGGCTACTCTTTTACCAACGAATAGTGGGATTGACCGTCACATTATAACACCCCCATGACTGAAAGAGCAAGCATGTCTGTTGGGACGGGATTTCGAACCTGCGACCTTTAGATTGCGAGTCAAGCGCCCTAACCATCCGGACCAGTGAAGAGTATCCAGAAATGTCAATTACTGTCTCATTCTGATTATTGTGATGTTTTAAGGAATTTGATTGTAGTTTCCAATAGTTCTTTGTTGTTTTTGAGCCACCTGTTTCGACAGCTACTTACTTCATTCCGTACAAGAAACCTGATTACTCTTACATTGAACCGTTCGAAAGAACAATGTAATGCCATAAATATTGAAAATCTGTATGAGAGATACTACATACAATAGAATATGTTTAAATTCAAAACACACAGTGTTTTAATATATAACAATATACGCATAAACATCTGAACCGATAGAGAGTGAGAAAAATTAATCATACGTTTGTTTGGTTGTCTCTCTGTTAGAGTTTTAGCTATTGTTTATTTACTCAGGTGTTTTATAAACCTCTGCAGGTGTTTTATAAAGATACAAATAGCATTTACCACAATAGACAATGGAGCAAAAGATGAATCTTAACCATGTTAGTTCTACTCAAAAATAAAGAAATAAGGAGAGGTGGGTTAATTTGTTTTAAACAAATAGCCCTAAAGATAGAAGATTATTTTACAGTACCTGTTCTACTCCAAAATTATCAGCATTCCAAGCTATTACTGGTAACCCCAAGTATCCAGAAAGTTGGAGAAAGTACTGCACCGAGGCTGCATTACTGCCAAAGAAGTCCGAATTGGTAAGGTACAACACAGCTATAACATCGTTACTTAACAGATCATCACAGAGCTTGTTTAATATTTCCGTGGGGCTGGGGTTCAAAGACATCTGAACCACTTTTGGGAGTTTAATATTGAAATATTTGTTTATGTTTAAAGGTTGGTCTCTACCTTTTTTTAGGCTCTGTAGGGCATCAGAGAGTCTTCTATTGTATGTTCTCTTAACACTAGTAAAAGTGGAGTGGGGCAATATAGCTCCAGAGTAAATATCCTGTTTCTTAAAATCGTATTTTTCCGAATACGACCAGCTTACTAATATTAAAATCCATGCTACCAAGAGTAGCTGGAAGGTAGATGGCGCTACAGAAACAACTTTAAATACCATGATAGCTAAATATAAAAACTATCTTCTTTATATCGTATATTCCATTATCATCTTTTCAAATTGCTGGTGAATGAACGTTTTCATGTTCTAGAAGGAATGGTTGGAGAAGCTGAATCACGTTTCTCAGATTTTCATCTTCTGGTATTGTCAGATGTATCAACCACCTTTTCTGAAACAAAGAGTTGTCTCAATAAATATTACTTGTCACGCTCGCAATTATTCTATTACAGAAAATAAATTAATAAACGAATAAAACAGAAGACAACACGTTTCCGCTGTATAGGCACTATATATACTTGTAATCTTGCCTCGCTTTCATAATTCTTCAAAATATTTGAAATACTGGATTCAAAATCATCAGTATACAGTCAAAGAGTACGAACACTAGCTAATATTTCACATTTATTACTTTCAGTTAACCGTATCACTGCTTAGAATATAAACAAGTAAAATTGGTGCTTTCTGAGCCATTTGCAGTTTTTGAAGTATTTTCGACGAGCACGTAGAAAGTACTTACCATTTGTCGTCTTGAAATCTGTTTAAAAGGAAATTTCGAACAAAGGGAATTCTATTTTGTCAAAACTTGTGACAAATACTCTGAGAAAAATAAGCATCATGGCCAATTAAATTACTTTAAGATAATAGTCGTTGTTTCTGACTTGAAAAGAGAATTCATATTGCGAGTAAGTTATTTATTTATTTTTTACAAATACACATACATTTAATTTAACATAAAAACTTAAAAGCAAAATATATATTTTTTATTTTTGGGAACCTTGCCTAGCTAAACCTTACATAGATATTGCTTATTTATCAAGATATTAGTTATATGCATGAGTAATGCTTACATATACTCAACTCGATACATTTTCATCAGACGATACTCCTGGTTGCAGTTACACACACACTCGTGTAGATATTAAATGCTACATAGCTTGTTACTTTTTTATACCGTTTCGACAGGAAATTCAGAGGAGTTTTAATTTTCAAAGATTGCTAAAAATTGTTTCTAAACTCTTCATTGTGAAGCCACACATTTTCAGGTTGAAGATCACTTCGAAAGTGATGACTTCTTAACCTATATTAAACTTACTTGAAAAACAAAAAAATATACTCGTTACAACATTAAAGCAGATAAGTTTCAGAACACGATTAAGTAATCCTTTCAGATTAGATCGATTATTTTTATGGATTAATGGATGCTTTAATCATATTTCAGTGAGTGGTATCATAGAAGCAGCTAAACGGATAGACAAATGTTTTGAAATAAAAAAAATAATTTTTGTGTTTATTTTATAAAACATTTTACATCTATTCTTGCACAAGCAATTATGATGGACCTCAATCATCTTAGGAGTGCCCTAAAGACGTTTTCACCAATTTTAGACTTTATTACAAAATGAAGTATTATGTCACTTCCTAAATATCAATTACACTTCTTTCACATCATGCCAAAATAGTTTTGAAATAAATTTCAAACGTAAGGTAAATAGTAAGGTAGCGAGGGTCCGTAACAGTCTGTAATAAACAAAACATATTTTGACTCAATGTGGTTTTCCTTGTATGTAAGTCCTAGGCTCTTAGTTACACTATATTGATGCCTACCCTGACATGATCATGATATCATGATTAAAAAACTGCGTATCAACAGTCAGGAATATATAACTTCCGACTGTAATAATATTAAATGGGAACGTCTTAAGCAATTCATTCGATAATGCAGGATAGAATAATTCATTAAACTCGAATTTGTTTCGTATTGTGTAACCAAAGTTCTAGAACATGAGATCTATAAAAGCAGAAATAAAATTCAAACTATTCAAAATGAAAACTATATCCTTGTAATAAAAATAACTGAATAATATATAAATACAAAAATTTAAGAATCGTAGCTCTAACAGTACAAGTAATTTAAACCCTAAACAATGTCTGGAGAAGAAACGTAAAGATAAAGAAATGCTAATAGGGTTTGAATTGGTCTAATGATTCTCGGAGATAAATTTAAGTTGTTCATCCAGGCAACTGGATATCTCTTTAGGATTCTACGTGCACGTGAGGTGCAAATATATAATTGGAAATTTATGCTCGGTCAGGTTTCCACACCTCCTGTTCATAACATGGTGTTGTCAAAAACTCCTGGCGAGCGGTGCGAATGACAAGTGGAAATATTTCATTTGAGCCAAGAGGCCAGTGGTACCATCTAAAGTTACTAAGGGAGTGCGTGCTTAATAACTAGAAACGAGTCCATCGTCGTTGTATGTATATTTAACCGTAACTTATCTTCTGTTTTTTGTAGTATAAACCATTCATGTCATACGATGTCGTTTCATTATTTAAACTCAGTAATGGATTTTTTATTTCAGTTGAAAAGATAATTGAACCTAGTCTGAGAGTAATTTACAATGTATAGCAGAATTGAAACGCCTACACATATCGATCTTAAATTACAATACATTATTTTTATATGCGAGAAAGTCCAGCATTTCTTCAGGAAATATTTTACTTTCATGTCAACAAAAGTGAAATCTTCTGACACGTAAGTACAGTATTAGATGCAAGAATGGATAACTTTACAAATTCACGAAATGTATACATATTATTGAACACAGCAGAAACTTTAAAACGAATTTGGTGCTGAGGCTAATAAAAGAATTAGTAAAATCTTTAAACATTTGTGAATCGTAATAAGAATAATGCATTAAGAAATAAAACTCTGTTTATTGACACCTCATGAAACTATTTTATTTCATCAATAAATGTTTGTTTGTTTGTAATTATGCACAAAGCTACACAAGGGGCTATCTGTGCTCTGCCCACCACGGGTATCGAAACCCGGTTTCTAGCATTGTAAGTCCGCAGACATATCGTTGTGTCACTGGAGGGCATAAAAGTTGGGAAACGTAAAATACAGTTAATTATTCAGACCAATAACTTGAATTTATTCGTAGGGTAGTTTATATATATACAAATTATGTACATATAGTACAATTTCACACAAACCATTTTAATCGGATATAATTGCAATATCTACTTAATAAATATGAATGATTTAATTAAATGGCCATAGTAATGTATCCATGGGAATTATATCAAAATGTAAAAATAATTTATGTTTATTGACTTCTAACTGAAATTTAAGAAATTCACTGCGTATTAACATAGAAAAATTGGTATTTAATCATTATTCATAAATACGTATAATTTAGCTAAGTATTTATTTGTGTTCATGTGATCTATTGCTTAATTAAAATATAAAATATTATACATAATTATGTAATAAGTTTGCAAGTATTAATTAACATTGCAAAATTGGTATTTATAAATACGTATAATTTAGCTAAGTAGTTATTTGTGTCCATCTATAACTATTGTTTAATTAAATGGCAAAATCTTATACATGATAAAAATTTAAATTTGCAAGCATTAATTAATCATAATGTTTTTTTAATAACCTAACTACTCCATTGTTGTCCAGCCCAATAGTAAGATTGAGTGCTTATAATGCTAAAATCCGGGTTTATATGACCATGATGAACACAGAACGGATATCCCATTGTGCAGTTTTGTGCTTAACAACAAACAAACCCAACGGACGAGTTCAGGTATTAATCAAAAGCCTTCTTGCAGGATGACTTGAGGTAGATAAATATGAGACTCTATTTTTACACGCTTTTGATTTGAATTCTGTAATGGACTAATGAAAATGAAAGTAAAAATTAAAACAATAATATTTTATTACAAATGTTAGGCCTAGTAGTTTCTATTGATCGCCAGTTTTGAGGTTTATATAGTGCGTGAAGAAATCGATTAAAATATTTTAGTGGCTATTCAACTATGTTACCATAAGCTTTAGCTATCTAAACTAGTCCATACTCGTCAGATGGTATATAGAAACACCAAGTAACTTGGTATTTGTTTTTCGGGAAGAGTAAGCTATAGTAAACTAAGGGAAAGTTAATCAAACCCGGTAACTCGAGGCATTCGGAAGGGTGTGTTTTCTTATAGCAAAGCCACATAGAGCTATCTACTGGGTCCACCGAGAGGAATCGAACCCCTGATTCTAGCGTGGTAAATCCGAAGACTTATCAATGTCCCACCGGGGGAGTATTCGGAACAGAGGTTCTCTTCCATCGAAGATGGTTACGGAAGCATGAAAATTAATAATTTATACTTTTACTTGAAAATGTTTAATTAAATTAGGTGATGGATAAATTTGTCTTGTACGTTCAAGATTCCGGATTAATTATGTGAAGTTTACCCCTTTTTTAGACGCTAACATTGATTAATTAGCCGTGTTTTAAAATCTTTCAGTCTGTGTTGTAGTGAAGTAGAGAAACGTTATTTCTTCTGGTCGAACTTTGTAATATTTTTTGAAAATATAGTAACTTAATATGTACAGACAAGTGTTATGGAGGGCAGAATGTTGTTAGAATGTTATTTGATACATTTGTATCCTTATTTTATACCACGAATCTCCGAATCAGGTCACAAGATGTTAGAACATCCCTATAAAAATTTAGAAAAAGTTTAATGATGGAATCCTAAAGTACTGTAATGCGGGTTCCCAGTTGTATGATTCCGGTGCCAAACCTGTGATCCAATAATGGAGGTCATGATTCTTATCAACTATATTTGTAGTTGAAATACTATACTGAAGGTATATAATCTTGACGAATGCATCAAATTACTAGGTATAATGAGAAATGTGAAAAGATCATAAAGCTGATTGTTTGTTTGTTTTGAATTTCGCGCAAATGAACACGAGAGCTGTCTGAGCTAGCCGTCCCTAATTTAGCAGTGTAAGACTAGAGGGAAGGCAGCTAGTCATCACCACCCACCGCCAACTCTTGGGCTACTCTTTTACCAACGAATAGTGGGATTGACCGTCACATTATAACGCCCCCACGGCTGATAAGGCGAGCATGTTTGGTGTGACGGGGATTGGAACCCGCGACCCTTAGATTGCGAGTCGAGCGCCCTAACCACCTGGCTATGCCGGGCCACCCATAAAGCTGTTAAGGATAGGAAGTGTGATGAAATACAGCTATAAGTGTATAAATATTTATAATTTCATTTTCTTTCATTCTTTGCAGAAAAAAAAATTATACAACTGATGCTACTAGTGAAATATATTATTAACTAAACATCAAGTCAGATGTCTTTATACAG